TTTGAAGTATTACAAATTCTCAATACTTTTCGAGATATCAAGTAAAAGTTTTTGGCCCCTCTAGATCCTTAATTTTAGGGGTCAGCCCTTTTTTCGAGATATCATTTGAAAGATCTTAGAATTCTTCACAATTTTTGTTCAATATGTTTTAACAAAATATTTACAAGTAAAAAGATATAATAGAAAAAGTGTAAAAAATTTTGAAACGCTCAATATGGCTTTTTTCAGACCATACCGAGCGTTAACGTGCAGTACTTCCGGTGAAAGTTAACAACACAATGCAAATCTACATTTGTTGCTCTATCTTCCAGAAAAGGTTTCATCTTCCTGTGATGAGCGATTTTTAAGAAGAGCGACGGACAAAATGACCTTTAAAAATCACAAAATTGCGCAAATTTTCGAACCGGAAGTGACGTCATCAAAATGAAAAAAAATGCATCAAGTTTTTAATATGTTCTATCAGACCTGAAAGATTCATAAAAATCTAACGAGCCGTTTTCGAGAAATCGCGTGCACAAAATCGGGGAGAAAAAAAATAATAAGAACTAGATACGATCTCGTTGCGAGCAACGAGTGGGTCTTCCGTCCAATTCTTGATAAGATGAGATAAGATTTTGATTGAGATTTTCATTAAAAGATAATGATTTACCACAATCTGTAAAAAGACATTGAACATTAAAGACTTAAAAAATCGGCTTTTGGCCCCTTAACGGCCCCTAATTGTAGGAATCAGCCCTTTTTCTTCATGTCATCTAAAAGCTCTTAGGATTTCGATCACTTTTTGTTCAACAACTGTTAAGAAATTCTTTTCGTTTTTTGAGCTATTAGCAAAAGAAATATTTAGGGGCCAACTCTTCAACTCCTTAATGGGGACGTTTAGCAAAAAATGAAAGGTTGCATATGTTCAGAACATTATTTAGAACATCCTTTGTTCAATATTGCTTCTCAAAATATTTCTGCCTTTCGAGATACAAAGCATCAAAGATTTTGAATTCTGGCCCCTTGTGGCCCCTAATTATTTAACATACGACATTAAAATTATAATATATAATTGTAGATTGTTGAGATAAACATCTTTGCTTCAGTAACATATTACAAAATATTAACTAATAAAGAGTTATCGACTGAAGATTTTTGGCCCCTATTGGCCCCTAATTCGAGTGCCTAGCCCCTTTTTCATGATCTCATCGTACAGCTCTTAAGATTTTAAACATTTTTTGTTCAACAATTAATCAGAAATTCTTTTTCGTTTTTGAGCTATTAGCAAAAGAAATATTTAGGGGCCAACCCTTCAACTCCTTAACGGGGACGTTTAGCGATAATTGAAAGGTTGCATATTGTTTAGAACATTATTTTGAACATCTTTTGTTTAATATTGCTTATCAAAATATTTCTCCCTTTCGAGATATAAAGCGTCAAAGATTTAGCATTCTAGCCCCTTGTGGCCCCTAATTATGTAACATACGACATGAAAATCATAATATATAGTTGTAGATCGTTGAGATAAACATCTTTGCTTCAGTAACATATTACAAAATATTAACTAATAAAGAGTTATTGATTGAAGACTTTTGGCCCCTCTTGGCCCCTAATTCGAGTGCCCAGCCCCTTTTTCATGATCTCATCGTACAGCTCTTAAGATTTTGAACATTTTTTATTCAATAATTAATCAGAAATTCTTTTTCGTTTTTGAGCTATTAGCAAAAGAAATATTTAGGGGCCAACCCTTCAACTCCTTAATGGGGATGTTTAGCAAAAAATGAAAGGTTGCATATTGTTTAGAACATTAATTTGAACATCTTTTGTTCAATATTACTTATCAAAATATTTCTCACTCTCGAGATATAAAGCGTCAAAGATTTAGCATTCTGGCCCCTTGTGGCCCCTAATTATGTAACATACGATATTAGAATTATAATATATAGTTGTAGATCGTTGAGATAAACATTTTTGCTTCAGTAATGTATTACAAAATATTGACTGTTACAGAGTTATCGTATAAAGACTTTTGGCCCCTGTCAGCCCCTAATGTGATGAGTCAGCACTTTTTTCTTGATATCATATTAAAGATCTTGTCATTCTGCACAAATATTGCTCAGTATGTTTTAACAAAATAATTATACTTTAAAAGATATGATGGAAAATGTCTCAAAATTTCAGTCATGATTCATGTCCTAATTTTTGACCCCTACCGAGCTTCCATACTAAGCACTTCCGGAATATTTTAAAGTATAGGTGCAAAACTATAATATGTTGTCTATCAGTCCTGAAAAGGACAGCATTCTAGCTTTTGTGGTTTTTGAGTTTTTGTCCGGACAAAATGGTCACTAAAAATTCGATTAAAGGGCGATAACTTCCGACCGGAAGTGATTTTTCGGAAAATAAAAAAAAAGTATCAGGTTTAGTTCATGATACATCATTCCTGAAAATTTCAAGGCAATCCACTCAAGCATCTCTGAGAAATCGTCTGCACAAAAATGTGTAAAGAAAAAAATAATAATAATAATAATAAAAGTGAAAAAGAAACAATAGAATAATAGAAGGGTCTTCCGTTGGAGACGGAAGACCCTAAAAACAGTGGAAAAGAAACAAACGAATAACAAGAAGGTCTTCCGCTGAAGACGGAAGACCTTAACAATAAGGTCTTCCGCTGAAGACGGAAGACCTTAATAATAATAGGGAAAAAGAAACCGAAGAATAACAAGAAGGTCCTCCGTCGGAGACGAAAGACCTTAATTAGTATATACAAATGCAAATATTTCCAGAGACATTCACTGAAAAAAAAAATAAGCCGTGTGACATTAATGCCTCTGCTGAAAAGCAGATGTTAAAATGGAAAACTTCAAGAGAATAAAACTATATATGAGTGGAAAAACTGTATTCTTTTTATGCCCCTGTGATATAGTGTTTGCACTGTTGTCAGTTAGTCTATTTGTTTCAAAAACTCTCTGTCTGTTTGTTTGCAAAAACTTTAGCATTGCCCATAACTTTTGACTGAGTGGAGCTATCATATTCCACAGGTGTATTCCTTGTGACAAGACCTTTCTTTGGTGACCACCAAATTTGGCATTGGAGTTTGACACGCTTTTACACAAAAAGCGTGTACTTTTACTTTGGCTTTAACTTTGGAAATGCAGTTTGTGCTAGGACTTTAATACTTGTAATGAGACCTTCCATTGGATATCAACTTTGATCTTTTGACCTTGGAGATTGACCTATTTTTAAAAACGTTTACTCTGGCCATAACTTTTGAACGGCTAGGGGTAGTGCATTCATACTTCACATTTGTAATCCTTTCATTAGAAACCAACCACTTAAACACTTTGACCTTGAAGTTTGATGAACTTTTAAAAACTTTAACCTTGGACATAATTTTGAACAGATGGTGCTAGGGCTTCCAAAGAACTATATGCGGTATTAACCAACATTTGCCCCCCAAAATCAAACTTTGATGGAGTAATATTTAATTAAGTCCTTAAACAGGGGAGTATATGCTGACTTCAAAGCACTGAATAAATTCATAAGTAATGACGTCATATGTACGTAATGACGTCACAGATATGACGTAAATTTCAGTTTTTTATGAATTTTGCAGAAAAATGTACATATTTCGTCGATATTTTAAATGAAAGTCACCGAGCGCATGTGTGTTCAGGATTAATATTTTAATATAATGTGTAGAATGATAATATCAATGAAATATGTCAATATTGTTCCTGAACACACATGCGCTCTATAAATTCTAAAGCTTAAATTGTTGAAATTTTGTCCATTTTGTCCTCTTTCTGAAAAAGGATATAAAATCGGACTAGTTTGTGACGTCATAAAAACAGAAATTGTGAATACACTGCTCTGGAACTATAATATTTTCCGTTAACTTATATTTCTCGTACAATTTATTGAATTAAGCACATTTCAGGAAGTTTTCCAAATTTGACTTTTGTGGGGGCAAACATATGCAATATACCGCATATAGTTCTTTCACAATTGTAGTTTTTGTGAGAAGGCCCAACTTTGGGTACCAAGATATTTGATTTGCATTTGAGAAAGTTTAACCTTGAAATTCACTGTGTTGCCATACGGGGCATCAGTGTTTCACAATCACATCATTTTTTTTAATAAAGGTAGAAATGCATACTACATATAAAAATAAAAATAGCTCAATTTGAACACTTTAAAATGTATGTTTGAACCAAATTAAAAGTATGCATATTTGACCTTAATTTCTGAATGATTATATATCATACTGAAAATAATCTTAAAACTATACATTACTTCCAAATTTATTTTTCTATTCACAAAGTGTGGTTCATACAGTATAATTTTTCCAACGAAATAAAACCAATTCCAATTAAGTTGTCTGAAAATATTGATTTTTATTTCCATTGTTTTTTTTACAAGTACAATGCATATGATGGCAAAATAATGATTAATGATAAAATCATTTCATATTTTTAAGTCCAGAAAGTGTTCAAGAATACACTCATGATGTTTTGTCAGTTTTTCTTTTTTGTTCACAAAGTTTAAGGGTTCACATTTCAACTTGAATTTCAAAATCTATACTTTATATAAAAAAGAGTTTTCAGTTCAAAAAAAGCATTCAAACTTAACAATAAACAGACATCATTAAAATATGATTACACTTTATCTGTCATTAAAATTTCTATGTAAATATTCAAGTCATCCCATTGATGCTAGGGGCCATTTCAAATATTAAAAAGACTGAGTTTTGATCCTAATTTATATTTTGATTTGTAAAAAAAAAAGTACATTTGTACAATGTCCTTGATATTACATGAAACTGTATGTTACAAAGTTATTAAAAGCAAGTTAAATGTCAAGTATTAAAATTCATAATAATATTTTTATTTCCTTCTTCTAACTAAACCTTATATTTTTTCTAAAAGGGATGTGGCACCACCAGGTCATTCATCTTGTGACACTTATGTAAAAACACATACACCATGTATATCAAAACATATATATATATGTATCATAAAAGTTGTTAATTACATTGAAGTGACAATAAGGTAATTATTGTGAGTTCAGACTAGAGAAAATAAATACAAATAATTATGAAGCAGTTGGGACCAATACAGCCTTTGGAATACATAACAGGAAGTACCTGGACAATACCGAATCTTAAAAAAAGACCCATATTTTAAGGAAGTACATATCTGATTAATATCAGAACTTTAAAAGTTGAGATTGCCTAAACTCCTGAGAACCCAGATAATGGGTTAACCAAATAATACTGTATGCAATTTGTTATAAAATCAATTTTTTCAGGTAGTACATTGGAATAATACTTTTTATCTGCCAGCCTGAAATTTCCAAAATTCCTGAGAACCCAGATTATGGATTTTAACAAATAATACTGTGTGTATATGTATTTTGTGGATTTCTTTAGACATGCATCATGCATCATTTAGCTTCAGTCTGGTCTAGATAGACCCCGTGCTTTGTCAACTCCTTCTCTGCTGCCTCCAGAACTATCTCTATGGAGCCACTGGCATCTATTTCTATACAGCTAGGCTTCTCCATTCTCTTGTAGGCTAGGTATAATCTACAAATGTCGATTTCATCCTCAATAAAAATAAACTATCATCCATATTTGTCTCAGCAATTACAGACTAAAGCGTATCAAAAAAAAATATACGTAATATTATTGAATTTAGACTTGATCACTATTTTTACTTCCTTTGCACAAGGGTACAAGTCTTTTTGAATAAAGTGTCATTAAATTTTTTTAAAACTTCCTTTATTTGACTGTGTTAAATGATTCCTCACTTTCATATTAAGCAAAAGCATGAATTTAAACTTAGATTTATATCAAGAATGTGTAAAATTTCAATCAGTTGTACATTCAACTGTAATCAGGGTTCTCCATCGTTTAAAAATTTACTGTGTTGCAGAGTTTCTGCAAAGCACTAAAATTTCGTGGTATTTTCGCAATCAAATTTGCAACTGAATCACTATTCATTATAATTACAAAGAATACATGCTTACACTTATTTAAAAATCTCTAATCCGTTACACAAATGGAATGGTCGTACATATTGATAAAAGTAAAAATATATGTACTGAAAAGCAGAGGAAATTCTAATCGATACAGTCGTACTTACCGTATATACTCGCCTATAAGTCGGTCCGCCTATAAGTCGGTTGTGTTTAATAAGCTTATATATCAGAGGGACTGACCTCATATACCATTCATTTTATAGCTCGCCTATAAGTCGGACATAGAGTTTTGGACAAAAGATTAACTCCCAAAAATCCGACTTATAGGCGAGTATATACGGTAACATTTTTGAAAGTAATTTTGATTATTTGTCAGTTTTCTAGATCGAATTACCGAATTACAAAATAGGAAACTTCAGAATAGTAAAATACTTTTAAGCATGTTAAGAGTTCCTTGAACATGTTGAAAATTTTCAGCAATTATTTACATCAATTCAATGACTTCGGTACGATTTTATGTTTGACTTACAGTGCTAACATAATATTCTAGATCCGTGGCTCTATAGAAAAGACATATTTAAATATTTTTCAAAATACAATCTATTTTAATGCCAATACATGTACCAATTAACCGTTACATGGACATGCGTCAAGTCTGGCGAGGGTCTAGGAGATAACTGAATATGCAAGGTGAAGCCCTACTAATTACATATAAGTGCTCTACATTTTAGAATTGAAGGATGGAAGAATTGTTTGATTAAAGCTCCAGTTAGAGAGGATTTATATATTGTTTGGATTTTCTAAATATCACAGATCTTACTGTGTAGGCAAAATTTTTACTGTGTTGCACACATAAAATTTGAATTGTTACTGTGTCAGAGAAAATTTTACTGTGTTGCATGCATAGAATTTGAATCGTTACTGTGTCGGAGAAAGTTTTACTGTGTCGGAAGCAACACACTAAAACAGCTCTTGGATAACCCTGACTGTTTTAAGATTTTACCTTTCTCTAAACAGTCTATCTTTATCTAAATGTTTTTCTTCTTGAGTTTTCTCCCCTCCTCTTCCCAGCATCCTCTGCTTTCTGATCTCCTCACTGACTGTCAGAAAGAGGACGATGTCAGGGGTTAAAAGGTCACTGGGCCACTTATACACCCAATGCCCCTCCAATGGGATGTCTTCATTGCTTGTTTCATTGGCTATACCATAAGCTGCAGTACTGTGCCAGAATCTAGAGCAGAAGGGGAAAACTGTTATTTAGGAATTAATAATTATGCAATGAACAATTTTGGGATTAACAATAATTAAAGTTTGCTTAAACAATTATAAATTTGCGTCAAACACTACACATCTGCCTTTCTGTTTCAATCACCAGCATAAAATATAAAAACATTTTCTGAGACATGATATCTGAATGAGTTTTTCCTGCTCTTTTGATGTATGCATGTTTTTTAATTGTTTCACATCAAAACTTTCTCTGATTTCATGTCTACACTAGACCTAACCTGTCCATGATAACAGGTTTCTCCTGACATGTTTTCAGTATTGCTATGGAAACAATATAGTTGCCAATGGAATAGTAGGCCCTTCTGACAATTTCTGGAAGGTCATCAAAACATTTCCTCAGATGCTGTATTGGGGGAGGAGGTGTAAAATATCTACATGCAGCCATTTTCTTCTCCAGTGTTTCAGTCAAAGTAGTCTTCCCTATTTATAACAATTTTTTTTTTCAGTTACATCAACTGTGGTTTATAAAAAAAAAAATAAGATTTGTAATTGCCAAATTTATTGTTTGTCAAGAATCAACTTCCAGTTAGTCTCTATTTGATAAATAAAAGTTAGAAACAAATACACTTTTTCTGCCAGTCACCTTGAACTTGCTGTAATGACCGTAGTCAATATCAATAACCCCGTCCCCCATCCCCACCCCCCATCACACGCAATTTTTGTGATAAAGTATGAGCCTCTGATATTCTCCATAACATCGAGGAATTAAAGTTTTCCATAAAAGTAATAATCAGATCTGAAAAAATCCCCTTGTCATATACTTATATATATACCTCTTAATAACTTTTTTCTAAAAGCAAATCATTATCATGTTTGGTTTAGTCAGTATTGAACTTACCAGTAGCATCTAGCCCCTCCACTACAACAAATGGAAATTTCATCTTTTTCTTCAGATCTTTGAGGCTAAAGTATGTTGGGACAGTGGCATCATAAATTCGAAGGAGTTCCTCTGCCTCTCTGATCCATACTGTGGACTGAAATTATTTTTTAATTGATGGAAAACCTAACTATGCTATATCTCTAAGCCTGATGGTAGAATAAAGGTTTTAGACAAAATCCCACATTCAATAATGATATGCAGCAAAGAATAAATTTTGCTGCTAACAATTTCAATTCGACTACTAATGAAATTTTTTTTGATTTACAAGATTTTCTAAAATCTCTTATTGTGTCCCCGCCCTCTCCATCATGATGAATTTACAACTCTTTACAATGTTTTTTAATAGTAAATACATTTACATTGTGTA